CTGCTTTGCAATTTCCGAAAATATCCCTATGGCCGGGAACCCAGATTAGAGAAATATTGAGCTGCGTCGACATTTCGTTTAGAAATGTGTAGCAGTCAAGAACCGTCCTAGATGTAAATTGGACCGAACTCAAGGACTTTAATGCAGCTTGACTGTCTGATAGTATGTATATATTCCTGCCAAATATATCATCTACATTCAAACAAGCTATAGCTTCCCTGATGGCGACCACTTCCGCCTGAAAGACACTACAATGATCTGGAAGCCTAAAGAAGGAAGATTTGTTCAATTCCTCTGAGAAAACTCCACTACCTACACCTCTACTTGTTTTGGATCCGTCAGTGAAGATGGTTACGCCCTCATCTAAGAAGGGGCCACCTGACGTCCATACCTCTCTAGATGGAAACACGACATCAAATTTCCTGTCAAAGTTGAGAGTGGGTGTGATGTAATCAACGTTTTTAGGAGTAAAATTGAAAAGATTTAGAATGGAGGCATGACCAAGTCACTGTCTCTCCATTGTGAGGTAGCTTTTAGTCTTAAAGCAGATGAAGCTGCCATTTGTTTACTAATAATATCCATTGGCAGTAACTGAAGCATCAAATCTAGTGCAATGGATGGTGTGGTGCATAGCGCCCCGCTAATACAGAGTTCAGCTCTACGCTGAATCCTGTTAAGTACTGAGCAGTACGAAGATTTATCAAGAGCTGTCCACCATACCGTAATACCATACATCAATATGGGCCTAATAACAGCTATATATAGCCATTGGGTGATGCGAGGTTGAAGACCCCACTTCTTACCAATAGCTTTCTGACATAGAAGAAGCGCAACATTGGCTTTTCTTGCACGCTCTAGAGTGTTTTTCTTCCAAGTGAGTTTCCTGTCGAAAACTATACCTAAAAATTTGGCTTCCTCCTTCACATGTATCACAGAACCTCGTAGAGAGGGTGGAGAAAGATTCGGGACCGTATGTTTTCTTGTGAAAACTACGATTTCAGTTTTATTGGGATTCACCCCAAGGCCACATTTTTGTGTCCAATTGTTTAGGATATTAAGACCATTTTGTAGAATATCCCTAAGAGTGGTAGTATATTTTCCGGTGACTGTTATCGCAATATCATCCGCATATGCAATAGTTTCGCATCCCTCCGCCTTCAGTTGTATTAGCAGTTCATTCACCACTATGTTCCAAAGGAGAGGGGAGAGTACTCCTCCTTGGGGGGTACCTCTATTTACCCTTCTGCGTGCCGTTGATGAGCCCATCGTTGCTTCAATGAGTCTGCCAGTTAGCAGCTGATTTATAAAGCCAATGAGCGCATCATCAACACCCAGACGCGAGATCGCGCTTACTATTGCACTCGGGAGTATATTGTTAAAGGCCCCTTCAATATCTACAAAAGCAACCATACAAAATTCTTTGAGTTTTATGGATTTTTCTATTCTGTAAGTGAGGGAGTGGAGAGCTGTCTCTGTAGATTTTCCCTTAGTGTAGGCATGCTGTGAGGGGGACCACTGGTTGGGGCTTACAGCACGCCTTACTTCTACGTCTATTATTCTTTCAAGAGCCTTCAACATGAAAGAGGAGAGGCTTATAGGACGGAGTTCATTGGGGTTATGGTGCGAGGTTTTTCCTGCTTTGGGTATAAAAACTACTCTAACCTCCCTCCATTTAATCGGGACATAGTTAAATAAGAAACAATGTCTAAAAATTGCCAAAAGCCGGTTGTGTATTAACTCCCACGAATTCTGGAGCTCAATTGGATGAATACCATCCGGTCCTGGTGATTTGTAGGGTTTAAAACTAAAAATAGCCCATTTGACGATCTGCAGGTTAACCTTAATAGAGTTAACCGGTGAGAGATTAAGGCACTCTGAGGATGCAGCTACCGAAGTAGAAGATCCCGGAAAGTGAGTATCTAGTAGTAATTGTAAAGATTCGCTACTATTATTGCACCATGTCCCGTCAGATTTTTTGAGTAACTCTGGGACAGATGGATTTTTGTTCCCAGGGGGATCGGAGGAAGTGGTTAAAAGCAGCTCACTTAGAGCTGCATTATAATTCGTCCAGTTTGTGTTTTTAACATTTCTGAACGTTTTTTGATTGCAGATGTTCGATTCATCTAAGGTTAAGGTGAATTCTAGAATCATATGGTCTGAGAACGAGTGTTGAGTGGACACTTTCCAGTTCTTGACCGATTCGTGAAGCCTAGCAGTAGCAAGAGTGACATCTAACACTTCCTGCCTGTTTTTTGTAATAAAAGTTGGCATATTGCCATCATTGCAGATGAACAGATTGTTACTAAATATAAAATCAAAAAGTAACTCACCTCTTTCATTTTTATTTGAGCTGCCCCAAACCTCATGATGAGCGTTGGCATCGCAACCTATTAGAAGCTCTACCCCGAGTCTCCTGGCGCTGCTTGTTAGCTGTATCAGGACATTCGATGGAAGATTGGCATGGTCATGTGCCAGATATGCAGATACTGCCCATATTTGGCCCCAGGAGCCCTCGATACTTACTGCGGTTTGGTCACCATCACTATATTGCGAAAGTAAGAGAGCGTTAAATTTTTTATTAACCAATATGCAGGACCTAGGCTTACCCTTATTTACCGCATAAAATAGGTTATAGTTATTAGCCCTGATTCCGCATACAAGATCCTTACAAATCCATGGTTCTTGTATCAGGACCATATCAGCCTCGTTGTTGCTGAGGCGTTGCAGTAGACTGGCGGATGCAGCCTTGCTATGATGCAGGTTAATTTGCTGTACCCGCATCTTCAGTATGTGTGGATCCATTTTTCTCCACCACAGTGACATCAAGAGCACTATCCTCCTCAGAGTCATTACTCATTAGGAGTTCCTCTTCATCGAAAAGATAGCGCATGCCTATGCTCTCTTCTGATGTAATTGAGTGAGCTGGCGAAGGAGCAGACACTGAAATGTCCATGCACACAGGTGAGTCTTCAGATGGAATAACCGGACTCACTTCGGTCATGGAAGCAGGCTTGATATTGCCCACTTTCGATAAGGGATCAGCAGTGTGTTGAGAAATTGCCGCTGATTCTCGTACATCAGACGAGGATTGCTCTTCATCTTTTTTGTAGACCCTCATAGTTATGGGGAAAAAACCGTAATTTAATACGCCACCAGATCGCGCCAAAATGGCCATAGAGGCTTTGTCGATCACAAAACTGACCGACCTAAACTTGCCTTTGGCTTCTTCCAGCTTAGTGACCTTTCACGTGGACGTATTTAGATCAGGGTTTCCCACCCGAATTAGCTCCAGAATCCGCTGAGGGTCGGATGGTTCGGCTGGAATCCAGGAACGCGCCCTAGGTCGGCCAGGAATTTGTTCCTTGGCAACGACTTTAAGCTTAGCGCCTGGCCAGACCTCACCCATTCTGGAGATGGCAATGCGAAAGAGATCAACAGAACGCTGATCAACGCAGGCGACTAATTTCACATGGCCCTGAAACCATCCACCGTCGCGACATTTGGGAATTGTACCTGGAAATTCCTTAAGAACTTCGACGAACAAGTCAAGGAGCTTTCGCTCAATTTGATCCCATTTTTCAGGATTAATAGTGCCATCTGGATCATTTTCATCAATGACCGCCATTATGATGGAGCCCTTCAGCGTGTCGCTAAAGGACTTAGTAGTGGTGGCGTTGCCACGAAATTTTGCCTTTTTGCCATCCGGCTTCGAAGCTGACTCATCTAATGAGCGCTGGCGCTTCGGTACAGGTTCCTTTTTGACTTCCTTAGAAGTATCAAGGACCCGTTTGGCCCAGGCTAATCTAGCCTTAAGAGACTCGGACGTAACCGAGACATTGCCATATCTCTCGAGCAGCCTAGTCGCCGCTCGCCGTTCTTTATAAATTCTCCTGGATGGAGAGCCCGACCATGCGGAGGGGCCAGAACGCGTGGAGATTTCTGGTTTATTAGGAGGTACCCTGTTATTACCGCTAGAAGTTGCGGTAGGTACCTTGGAACTAGTCGTTCCAGAAGAGCTTGGTTTAACCGAGCTTGATTTTTTAAAATTTTTATTCTTTTGGTCCATATTTTAAACCCACGAGTTGCGGAGAAAGGAAAGTCGATCCGGGCAGAGATCCGCTATACCCGGACAAGGCTAAGTTACAACCGGAGGGCGCCAGTTATCCGGAGGTCTCCGTTTAGAGACACACTAACTTAGTGCCATTCATCTCATCGGCACGGGTTTTATTGAGTTTTCCTCTCTAGATCCATAGTGTTCTGTTGAGTCAATGAAGTTATCAACTACAAACAGGTTCACCTCGAGAAGGGTGTGATACAGTACCACGCACCATGGTCTTGGTAAGGCATAGGCTGATGTTTTGCGCATGACCATACCCTGTTCATTGAGAACACGAACCCAATAATAAAGTAAGTAAATAATAATAATTATGTTTTAAAAATACTAGTGCATATAATTAATAAATTAATGTTTTGTTGATGGTGAGACATTGTGTTAGAGGCTGTGCCACTTACAAGACGTTACACAAATTTCCAGCAACCGGTGATGAAGGAATGCAATTGTTATTATTCGTTGTACTATAATCTGTGAAATATTTGATATATAAAATATTTCTTTGGCAAGCATTCGTATTCGTGTATTAATATTCAGTACTGTGCAAATAATAATAAAAAATACCATCACTATTGTTTTTTTATATGTTTTACAACTACTGTATTTAAGTATTTTAAGATGCTACATTTTTAATATTAAGTTTATTATAAACATGTTTATTCTATATTTACTTATTTGTCTAACTATAACCGTTTGAGTATTGTATGAATTGTATCAAGTGTATTTTTTAATAAAAATTAAATTTATATATAAATAAATGAGTTAAGTGTATATTTATTAAATGCATAAAAGATAACGAATGTGTGTGTTAGATGTGTCTCTAAAAAATAATACTATAATATTTAATTTCATGTTGTTTGAATTTATTTGCAGTAAAAGAATGTTGAAATGTTTTTAAAAACATAAATTTTTTAAAAACATCAAAAAAGTATGAAGTAATTAATTTACAACACAACTTTTTGAATAAGTATTAAGAAAATTTCCCCAAAACTAATAATACATAAAATAAAAACAAATTATAATATTTAATTAGTTAACACAAAATGTTTATTAAAAATTGACGATGAGCGCGCACACCCCTGCGCATCAACGACCTATTCGGTACTGACTACAAAATTCGTTTTACGAAATCATAAAATGAAATTTTGTAGGCAAAAATCGAACCATGCTCGTTGACATGCGTGCGCACCCTCACGTGCGTACTGACTATAAAATTCGTTTTACGAATTAATAAGAATGAAAATTTCTTAGGCAATGCTCTATTTTAAAAATGCATTCACCATAATAGAGTGGCCGTGCAAGCAATAAAATTAGTATTTATTGCGATTGTTTAAAAATTTATTTAATTTTGAAATTATTTTCTACAATTTCTAACGAAATCCAATATATATTAAATAAATTTTGGAATATTATATTTCTTGAAGTGAACAATGCTATATACTCAGTTATTTATTTCTGAAAATAAGTAAAATAAATTATAATATCACTTTTGATATGCTTAACACTGAATTACTATTATAAAAATTAATTATTTCTATTTTTCAGTACACAATTTATTTGCATAGATATGTGAATTTAATGCTGCATGCAATAGAATATAAATTGTATATATTAATGTCATATAACTTTAAATTTCATTATACTATATACCCAATTTACAAATATTTTAACTACAAAAAGCTATTTAAATGGAAAACATTATTAACATGATATTATACTGAATTTAATTTCAAAACATATTTTTTCAATTTCAAGCTAAAATAGATTTTAATTGCTTTCAACATATTATATGAAACCCTTCTGAACTATTTTCGCACATCAAAAATATATAAATAGCTAAGAAAAGTGTATAAATAATTGTGTAACATACTCAATTACAATCACAAAAATTTTTTGCATGATTATAAGTTATTGTAAATAATTCCATTTAATTTAACAATATTCAAATTATATGTAATGTATGCTTATATTCATTTATGAGTATTTATATGTATATCTGCTTCAATAAAAACTTATACAGTAAGTAGTTGAAAAAAAGTTATGCAGCAGCCCTGAAAGAGCATGAAAGAGCGTAAAAGTGGCATAAATGTGGTTTAATCACACTTATTTAATACGTGTGACAAAAATGTTATAAAAAATGAATTTTCTTAAGCAATTTCTCTTAGTTTTGATCGAGGTGGGCGGAGTTTCCATTCTATAAAAGATATTCTCTGCACGACATATTGACACAGCTTACAACACAGAAGAGGTACTAAACATAAATGAGGGTTTTAAAAATAATAAGTGGTCTCTCGACTCAGAACCCTCAACACATACACTTAGCAGAAAAACTCTGCGTACAGAAAGTAAATTTTGTTTCAACATGTAAAAAATTACTAAATAAATAAATTTTTTAAATCAGTTTTATTTTTTATTAGTACTATAATTTGTGATCTTCATTCTAAGCTAAAAATTATTTCTAACAGATTAGTAGAAAAATTATAACAATTAAAAATGTAAAAAATCCGAGTTATCGGTGGCAGAAAAAGTCTGCGTACAAGAGTTTAAAAAGCATCGAAATATATTATTTTTTAAAAGATTTTATATTTTCAGTGACTTGTTGTTTCAGTGACAGCTTCGCAGTCTCATCGCTGCTTATTTTACCCCATTCCGCGTCGCTCACGTTCTTCAGCATTTTTTTGGAGGTTATATTGTATTCATGTACCCGACGCTCTAGTAAATCCTATAAATGTTCTATAGGATTCAAATATGGCGATTATGATGACGTTTTGATTTGCTTGGGCACATTTTAAAGCAACCAAAACTTTACAACTTCTGTCGCGTGCTTTGGGTCGTTATCTTGTTGAAGTAAGTAATTATTCTGTATCCCCAACTTCTTGGCACTGCTCTTTAAATTACTTTTTAAAACATTTAAATTATGAACTTTATTCCTTATCGACTCAATGAATTCCATTTTTCTTACTCTATTACTCGCCATACACCCCGCTCTATTACTCCTCTACTACCATGTTTTATTGTTAGATACAAATCTTCATTATTAGAGGCAGTACCCGGGATTAGCCATATAATCGTTCGACCTTTGATGTTAAAGAGACAAAATTTGCTTTCGTCTGAAGAAATTATGCGTTTCCAAAATTCTGGAGACTTATTTAAATACTGCCTTGCGAAAGCTAAACGCTTCATTCTAATATCTTTGGAAATAAGCGGCTTGCTTCGTGCAAACCGGCCATGGTAGTGGTATTTTATTAATATTTTGTGTACAGTATCCACGTGAAATTGCTTCTGGAATGTCTGGTCAATATATTTTTATAACAGAAGTCCAGTTAGACGAGGATTATCTTTCACTGAATTTTCACTGAAGTTTCTCTTGTTGACAGCTTGGATGGACGCCCAAATCGCAACTTCGAGATCAATAATCCTGTTTAGCTGTAGCTGTTCACTACCCTTTGGATAAAAGAATGTGACCGCTTAACGATTTGACCAATTTCGCAATACATTTTCCTTTTTTTCCATAGATCAATAATAATACTGCTCCCACTGTTAATAATTTCTTTTCCTTTATTTGCCATTATAAATTTAATTACTTTTTAATCGTTAAATTATAAAATAAGTGCGAGGGATTGTGTATAATGACTTACTGGTACAGTAAAATATAAAGCACGTCAAAGTTGTACTGTTAAAACTTCGGGAATTCCGCTTTATATGTTTTGTACGCAGACTTTTTCTGCCGCCGATAGCGCTGATTTTTTACATTTTTAATTATTATAATTTTTCTAGTAATGTATTAGAAATAAGTTTTAGCTTAAAATAAAAATAACGAATTAAAGTGCAAACAAGAAATAAAATTAATTTGAAAAATTTATTTATTTAGTAATTTTTTATATGTTGAAACAAAATTTACTTTCTGTACGCAAAGTTTTTCTGCTAAGTGTATGTGTACCGAAAAGGCGAAATTTCATGAAATCGCTAATACAAGTGGTAAAACATTAGCTCTTGCCAACAATAATTCAACTGACATAAAAGGGATCGGTATCGTTAACATCAAACCGAAGACTGGTTGGAATGCAAAATTAGAAGAGACGCTATTAGTACCTGTAGAAAATTTTTTAATGATGCTAAAGCAACAGGAAAGAAAGCAAAGATACGCCATTAGGCGGTTCAAAAGTGCAGCTTGGAAAAACTTCTGTGGCAACATTAAATCCTCCTCTGAGTCTAGCCGTCTGCGCATAATCCTCAATTCCACCCATAAGACACTCGATTATATCCAGGCTCAAATGGTCAATGGACCAACTCCAGTAAGGAAACTCTCGACACCCTTCTGGACTCACACTTCCCAGGGAGTATAGCCTCTGATGCTGATTTAACAACTCAAATCAGCTTGCCCCCTCTAAACAATCCGAAACCGTTTCAAGTTACCAACACTCAAATCAAGTGGGCTATCTAAATTTTTAAACCTTATAAATCTCCAGGTCCGGACGGAATTATTCCCGCCGATATTCAACAGGGTGAATTCGTAATCCTCTCCTGGCTCCTAAGCATTTACAATAGTTGTCTCAAGCTTATGTATGTTCCAAGCTGCTGGAGAGTGGCTCGAGTAATTTTCATTCCCAAAGCAGGGAAAATAACTCACTGCAGTGCCAAGGACTATAGACCAATCAGTCTGTCTTCTTTTCTTCTAAAAGTACTGGAGAGAGTTCTTGATCTGCATATCACGAACAAGATACACCCAGCACTCTTATCTCCATCACAGCATGCTTATACTAAAGGCAAGTCTGTCGATACTGCGCTTCATGCACTCATCTCGCAAATTGACCACTCCATCTCTCTCAGGGAATACTCACTTGCCACTTGTCTCGATATTGAGGGCACTTTCAACAATGTCTGCCCCAATGGTAAAACTTTTGGAACAATCCGGATGCAGTGTTATAGCTTATGCGGACGTCATTGCTATTGCC